ATGATTGGTATTCAAAACCATTATTTTCCCCCCTAAGCTGAATTATTTACATCTTTTTCACAGTTCCTTGGTTCTTTTAACACTTGGATATACCGACTCTTGCATTTGAATCTGAAACTGAAATTATTATGTTAAATGAATCTAATGAGTTTTCTTATTGTACCCATGGAGGTGTCCCAAAACCCGTTTTGTGTTTATCTTTTAGTTTGTCGTTTTAGTTAGCTGTGTCTGGCTTCTAGTTTCTTGCATGAAATTTGTGTTTTCTTTAGGAGTTTTTTTTGTTTGTTTGTATGTATCTGTTGACACTTCAAGTGTACTTGTTTTGAGTTTTTATGTTATTAATATACTTATCATTTGAAAAAAAGTAAATCTATATCAAGTACGTTCTTAGTTATCCTTTAATTTAGGTAGTGATTTCAAAATGATTGGTATTAAATAAAAGTGATATATTTTGGACAGAATAATTAGTAATCAAATTAGTAAACTCTTTCCACAATGCAATTTTTGAAAGTTCTAATAATTTACGGAAAATTGAATAGTTAGAACTTCTCTAATCAATGTCACGTACAAAATAAAAGAATATTGAAGCTTTTTCCATATTATGTCAAAAATGGTTACGAGATCAAACCACGGACCCCACTCGCACCGCACGTACCGTTACAAAATTTCAAAAGGCGTCGAACGAAGCTATGAGCGTTTTTGAATTTCAAAAAAATTGCCCAACGGTCCCTAATCATTCAAAACCTTTAATAACAATCCCCAGCTCCAACTTCTTGCTTCTCCCCCAAATCCCCTCGACATAATTGACAATGTTCAGAGTCTGAAAAATCTTCTCCAGCAAAAGGAAAAAACCCTCATTTTCGCACCTCGCCCAATTTCCCCTTAAACGAAAAAGAAGAAAAATAAAAATAAAAATAAAAATAAAAATAAAAATAAAAATGGCGAGTCTAACCCCCGGCATTCTCCTCAAGCTTCTACAGTCGATGAACACGCCGACCAAGGTCACCGGCGACCACCGCAGCCCCCTCCTCCAGGTCATCGGCATCGTCCCCGCCCTTTCCGCCGCTGACTCCCTCTGGCCCCACAACGGCTTCTACGTCCAGCTCTCCGACTCCCTCAACTCCACCTACGTCTCCCTCTCCGACCGCGACACCGACCTCATCCTCACCAACCGCCTCCACCTCGGCCACTTTGTCCACCTCGACCGCCTCCACTTCGACTTCCCCCCTTTCCCCACCCCCGTCAACCTCCGCCCCGTCGCCGGCCGCCACCCCTTCATCGGCTCCCCCGAGCCCCTAATCGCCCGGATCTCCCCCTCCAAGACCGGATTCGTGATCCAGCCGGTTTCAGACTCCGACACGGACCCCATCGCAGCCTATCTGTCCCGTGCGGGGAAAAAGGATGAAAAATTCCTCGACCCTAAACTGAGCAGGCAAGCAGTCGCCCCCAAGGAGAACGTCAACGTCAACGTCAACGTCAACGTATCCTCTAATTCTGGTGACGACCAGATTAGTAACACCAAAACCAGCTCCGACAAGGTTTCTCAGAGATTCTCCTCGCCTGGGACGCTCAAGCAGAGGTCCGCATCTTCCGGGAGGAAAGCTGTGGCGGCTGAGAGGGATCCTTCTCCTGCTGCCAAGCCCGGAAAGAGGTCGGCCTCCCCTGTCCCCTCTAAGTGCGTGGTTCCCAGCCTTGCTGCTGCTGCTAAGGACGAGAATAGAAGGACATCGAGGGAGCCTGCAATTATAGTGCCGTCGAGATACCGGCAGCCGTCACCGACTGCCGGGAGGCGGCAGGCGAGCCCCGTGGTAGCAAGGAGGATGTCTCTGTCTCCTGGGAGGAGGTTATCGAGTGGGTTCAAGGCAGTTGATTCGTCAGGGAAGAAAAAGATGGCTACTATTGTGGCTGGGATTCCAAAGGTATCTGATACACTCACGGGGTCGGGTAAAACGGGTAGGAAGAGCTGGGACGATGGGTCGAATTTGAGTGGTGGAGGCTCTTTTGAGCACAAGGAGAAGGCGGGGAGTAAGAACAGGGTTGATTTGCAGGCTATTTTGAGGACTCAGGTGATTTTCTTTAGTTTTCTTTTTTTTTTTGGATGTATTTGATTTGATTTACATCTTGGTGCACATTTTATTCTAGAACCATTCATTCTTGTTTTGTTGTTTAGCCATATACACTATTAGATGACCTATATGTCAGAATTGGAAAGCATATGGATATATATTTTGTGCTGTATGAAGTTACAGTTCGGATGTACTGTTTGAGATTAATAAGAATTTTCAATGACCTTCTTTATGGATAATATTCCTTTTCTAGGCTGCTATATCCAGGCGTCTAAGTGATGTTCATGATAATCTGCCAAGTGATGTAAAATCTGAAAGCTCTGTAGAGCAGGAGAAAGCCAATGGTGCTGCTCCAGTGATCACTATCCATGAAAAGAAATGGACTGATGGCAGTGTCTCATTGGATATGGTTTCTTCTGGCCTTGCAAAACTTGGGAAGGTATCATCTATGAATTCACAATTTAAACTTTATCTGCCAGTATATGCTACTTTGGGGTCATCATGGTTTCATTAACCGATCCGCTCTTGGTTCAGGATGCTATGCAAAGAAGGAAAATTGCTTCAGCTGTTGCTGCCGAAGCTTTGGAGGAGGCCATTGCCACAGAATCAATCATGAGAAATCTAAGGTATGCTGCTTGTAGGCGATGATCTTTTAAAATTGTTGCTTGATATAGAAAGCAGATGCCTGAGTGAATACTCAGCTAATGTGCATTGCTTTTCTGGTGATCATATTAAGTTGTTATAACAATGCCTCTTAATTATCCTGTTTCGGATGGTCCCATACATCAAGTGAGCAGAGGATAGTTAGTTCTTTCATTTTATTGGTACATTCAGTCCTGCTGCGTTACTTTTGTTGCTTCTTGTAAAATTATTCCTAGTTATTCATGTTACCTGTTTGTGTTATGTTTGGCATTCTTATGGCCCCATTTCGCTGTGAGGGTATGGTTGTGTATTCCATTTATTATAAACTGATATATATACTCATTCCTGTAAGCCTACATATATATCAATTATAAATTCCAAATTTGGGTTTTTAGTTGTTGAAAATTTTCAGTTGTTTTAGCTTTTGAGTTTTTGTTCTGACCAAAATTTCCTGTGAAATCCTTTACAAATTAAACTCTGTCCATTTAAGTGTACATGAAACTACTTTTTTGTGCATTGCTATTGCTTGACTGATATATGTTAGATGAGAATATGAAGCTTCTTGTTCCATTGGATCAGCATAAAGGAATTCTAGGTATGCATAAAGTATGCTGGCTGTTGCCCTTTGCTTAATTGTTGCACTTTCTTCCAAAGGATTGTTTCATGTGGTCTGTGCGTGCAGTCAGCAAACAAGTATTTGCTGATTTATATATGGAATAAAATATTTCCTATGTTACGAAGGACCAACTTTTGAAACATTTGTAGAGAAGGCAATAACGAACTTGGTTTTACCCAAGAAACAAGTTTAAATTCACAATCAAAGAAATATAAGAGCTGGGGGAGTCAAAATCAAACGACACATAGCAAATATGTATAGTTAGATTTATTATTTCAATATTATGTCTAAACTTTCACCATGATGTATGCACTTTAAATTTTTCTGTAATAATGAATAGGTAGCAAGTTCATTTGGAATTTGGTATTGTGCTCTGTTGTTCGGTCTCATAAAGCATCTCTTATTATTTTCAGCATGTTCTCAGAGCTTATTGCAACCTCAAAACCCGAAAACCCTCTACCAACCATAGACCGTTTCATGTCCATCTATGAGGAGCTCCTAAAATCAACAGCATCTGCTGAAACAATTTCTGGTAACGGTAACTTATCCGAGTTAAAATCGAGCAATAGCAGCAGCAGCAGCACACTGTGGGTGGAAGCTGCTCTAGCTACGAATCTCGAGGTTGTCTCCTTACTCACGAACGAAAACTTCCAAACTCCCCCAAAAGCCGACAAGAAGCGAACATCTGCCGAAACTCCTTTTAAAAATAACAACACGAAAGTCTCCTCATTATTAGTCGGGACGTGGAGCCGAGGTGTGGGAATGAACGAGACGGTTGAGCTCGGTAAGAATTTGCAGTCCGAGATGCAGATGTGGTTTGTGAGGTTTGTGGAGTCGTCTCTCAATGCCGGTTTTCAGGTATTCGAGAGTAGTGTTGCCGGCGGTGGGCCCATAGGGGCGGTTTTGTCACAGCTAAAACGGGTCAACGACTGGTTGGACCGTGTGGCGTCCAAACGGGACGAGTTGCTGATGGAGAAAATCGAGCGGCTGAAGAGGAAGATATATGGGTTTGTGATCCAACATGTTGGGACAACCGTAGAGAGTGTATGAACTATGATGTGAGGAAAACATTTTGGAATGTTGTGAGGTGTTGATAATGAAAACTTGGGTGTTATTTGTTTTCAGTTCTACTGAATTCAATGCATTTTATTTTGTTGGTTAGAATTGGTGAGGAAATGCTTCTTTTATTGTGATGAAAGTGAATTCAAAGTGTGCATGGAATGGTTTTTATTATTTTCTCATTTTAATGTGGGGAAAATAAAGTGTTTTCAGAAATGAAAAGATGACAAAATATTTGTTCGATAAATCAGTACTAGTACAGAGCCCGTGCGATGCACGGGGTGTACAATTTTAAGGCTATGCAATATTCAATAAAAGTTTATAATACGCAAGAAAAGGAAATTGTACAATGTTCAATAAAAATTTTATAATATTCAAGTGGAGTCTTAAAGTCTCTTGTACTTTAAGACTACTGACAAAATAATATTCCCTTAGTATAAGATAGACTAAGCCACATTTGGTCACCCCAGGAGCAACCATTCATGGTCATTATGGATTGGGATAGTCTTCCTTCAAAAGGATGGTGGTAGCTCGCAAGGCTCATAACCTTGAGGTCACGGGTTCAAATCCCGCCTCCGCACTATTTTATTTTAATCAATGAGTTTCCTTTCCTTGTAGTCAAATTGTGAATGTGATTTGGGGAGTACAACAAATCGATATATAGCTGACTTGCTTTTTTCATTATAGTTTTTTTATTTTTATTTTTATAATAAATTTAAAGATATTCTAAAATATAGCAAAAAATAATTTTTTTTTTATTACAATTAGGAATTTTACTAAATATAGACTCTTAATCTATGGTGTTAATCAACGTTTAAGTCTAAAAAATTAGGTATTTTACATCTTTTAATCAACGTTTAAGTTTTTTTCTACATCTTTTAAAACATTAAATATGAGCATGTTAGGGCTAGCTTGTAAAATAATTAATATATTATCTCATTAAAACATTTATACTAATAAAAATTTAATTTTAGCATATAAATTTATCCCTTGATATAAGAGAAAGTAACAGTTTTACTTATTGTTGTTCACCATATAATATTTAATTATTATTTTATTATATAATAAAAAAGAAATATTGTTAAATAGTGTAGTAGAATTGTTATAAAATTATATGATTTTTTTTTTACAATATGGATTTAATATATTTTTTTATGATTTGATAATATAAACAAATCTATACTTAACTTTGACAAATAAAACAAATAAATACTTTAGTAAGTACTTAATGTATATACTAAATATGAATATATTTGGTATAATCAAATACCAAATATAATCAAATAAGTCAAAGTGTACATTTTTATTTGGTATTTTATTTTTTTATTATTAAAATCTTTTTATTATACTTACCTTTTTAAAATAAAACAAATAAATAAATTAATTAAATAAATAAAATATTATAATACCAAAATAGTAATGACATTTAATGCAGTTGACTTTTCTGGATAGTAAATGTATTAAATAGAATCTCTTTTTATAAAAGTATAGATATGATATTATATTATGTTGCTCAAAATAGTAATGCATTTATTGAATTGACTTTTCAACTTACTAAATTTCGTAAATGGTACACCTTATTATATAAGTATAGATTAATAATTCTGTTTCTATATATTATATAGGGTTAATTGCAGGAAAGACCATAACCTTTTGGTTAATTGCAAATAAAACTCATCTTTTTTAATTTAGCAAGAAAATACACAACCTTTAATAAGTATTGCAAATTTGTCTCGAAAACATATTCCGGCCAATTCTACTGACATGGCTGATCGGAAAAATGACGTGGCTTCCACGTCAATGTACACGTAGGACGCCATGTCACTTAGATGCCACATCATTTTTATTTATTAAACATCAAATTAGAAAGAAAAAAAATTCCCTATTTTAAATCATTTGCAAAACAAGAAAAAAAACGCATCTTTCTTCTCACGATGTTCAGATGCCTCAAATTCCCGATCAAATCCATACACCGCTCGATTTCTTGCAGAGCAATTGGTGGAATTGGAGGATGAAGAGCAATTGGTGGAATTAAGGCACAGAGCTTCATTGCCGGAAAAGCTGGTCATGCCGAATTTTGTGAGTCGGGATTTGGGGATTTGGCCAGTGATTTGGTTTGTCAGAGCTCGTCGGGGCTCGTCGGAGCTCGCGAAGGTCGTTTCAGCCACGAGTTAAGGGCTACCCTCACGTTCGATGCCCGGTTTGCTGCTCTCACCGAAAAATATGGTGGCTCGCGTTTCGCTAACGAACCGCTGCCCTTGGTTGCTCTTCTGCGAGGTCGCTCGTCAGCCTCGCAAGATATCGCCTCGCCGTGGATGAATCGGTCCTCAGTAGTCAGTTCCCGCTGCGGCTACCTTTCCACTGTCGCCCGTTCATCTTGCCGCCGGGAGTCTGGACTTGTTGCGACTGGATATTAGGGCTCAAACTCGTCGGACATTGCTGAAACGCCGGGATTTCTCGTCGTCGTGTCGGCTGTTAGCGGTGGATCGAGGACAAAGGTGGGAGGAGGGCCGTTTTGCGAGTGAAATGGAGAGAGGTTTCGAGGCGATTGGAGAGATTTTTGAAGAGACTTCTCTAATCCGATTTTCTACTCCAATCAACTGTGCCGTATAAGATGGAGTTGCGAGAGAAAAGCTTAGAGTTTGAAGAAAATTTTCAGATCCGATCTGGTTGTGAGGAGATTTTTTTTTTTTTTTCAGAGAATCGATGTGAGGAGAGAGATTTTTCTCTTCTTCTTTGCGCGATGACGAGATGACGAGAGAGATATGTGGCATGTGGCATCTAATTGACATGGCGTCCTACGTGTACACTGACGTGGATGCCACGTCATTTTTCCGATCAGCCATGTCAGCAGAATTGGCCAGAATATGTTTTCGAGACAAATGTGCAATACTTATTAAAGGTTGCGTATTTTCTTGCCAAATTAAAAAAGATGAGTTTTATTTGCAATTAACCAAAAGGTTATGATTTTTCCTGCAATTAACCCTATTATATATTATAATTCTACTACTATATATTATATATTATACTTTTAGAACACTAGTACTATTACTCGAGAAAAATTAATATGTGCATGAGACAATAATGATAAATTGTATAAGTTAAATCAAATAAAGGAAATTTGATTAGTATAAAGTATAAACATAACTTCGAGTACTAATATTATTTTTTATCTTTAATTTATATTTATGATATGTAATCGTTTAATATATATATATATATATGTATATATATATATATTTCATTTATAAGATAACTTTCATTTTAGAGTTCCTATTTAGAATTAAGGAAAATAAAAATTTAACATATTCAAATATTATTAATAAATAATACTTACAAAAATGCATCTCTCTCTTCTCTTTAAAAAAATGTAGTGTACACTATTTTAAAGTTATAAAAATTATTAATTTTTAATTACGTAAACTTTCGCTTAATATTTTGTATTTTAATAAAGTATGTTATAAATATTTTAAAATTTCTTTCTAGTTTAATAAATCATATAGTTTATCATTATAATTGATAATGATATACATTGTAAATATTATGATTTTTTTTTTCCAAGCTAACAATTTACATCATTGTTCAATATATGACTTGTTGGTTTATCATTATATTTTATAAAAATATACATCATAAATATGTTCTTTTTTTCTATGTCTATAATTTATATGTTTGACAGACGATCTGTTAGTTTGTCATTATAGTATGTAACAATATTGATATGGGATAACCACACCAGGTCGTCTGGACCGAAGAAGCAGCCAAACTGATCTGGGTCAGCCATCATGTTGAACAAAGAATGAAGACTCCATAGGTCGAAGGATCCTTAGGTCAAAGAGGTGACATGAAGGATACCAACGGGTCGAATGAAAGTCCTCGGATAGCTTGATGGAAGTTCGACAAGAGCATCTGGTCGATGGATCGACCAGATGAGCACAACAGTAGAGCTCAACATCGATGACGCTCCACCTCGAGGTAATCGGGGTCAGTCGTACGATTAGACCGAAAAATGAAGAAGACAAAGGTAAGAAAGAATATTATGGTGATCAAATCCCCTCAAGGTTTGTGTTTACACTAGGAGGAGGGAGCCATAATATGGAGGAGTGTCAAGCAAAAGTGCGTGACATACTCCACTATGGAAGTCGAATATGTCGCAGCCTCAGAGGCAACAAAGGAAGCGGTGTGGCTCAGAAATTTCCTTTTAGATATCGACGTCGTGTCAAGTTTACCCGCTGCAATTACAATTTTCTGTGATAACAGTGGAACAGTAGCAACTCGAAGGAACCCCAAACACATGAAGTGGGTAAACACATAGAGCGCAAGTACTACCTGATACGAGAAATTGTTGGACGAGGAGAAGTCGTTGTTGCCAAGATACTGTCAGAGGACAGCCGAGCAGATCCTTTTACGAAGAGCCTACCAGCAAAAGTCTTTGACCGATATGTAGAAGGAATGGGAGTCAGACATAGGGCGACTTGATAGACTTGTTTTTTGAGAATTAGATTGAAAGAGAATATAAAATGTAATAGCCGAAAGCTTTATAGAGTATAAGTGGGAGATTGTTAGGTTATACTGTAAAAGTTCGGCTTTCAGTTTCTGGCAATACCATTTTGATCTGGCAATCATGTTTTAGTCAAGTATTTATGTTTGCAGCGAGCATAAGTTCCTTTATTTTATATTGTAGATAGTATGGTTCGATGTGTTAAACAGAAAGATCATTTTATCAATTCCGTGTAAAATATAAATTATTGATTCACAGTCTAGACAGAATTGAACAACCTGTTGCTAAATGAATGTAATGTGATTTTAATTATGTTGATCTTTGACTGATGAATTACAGTAGTACTTTGTAAGTATTTAATGGACCATAGAGGATAAAATTATTTGAATACAGACTGACTATATATCTAGACCTCTGTAATTAATGCGTACTCTTAAGTCGTAAGATAATAAAAGTGTATATATACTCACTACTTATTTGATTACCAAGAGTGATTCCTATTTTATTAGGACGACATACTCGATATTTTAGTAAATGGTGATGTTTATATAATGTGCTGTTAAACTTATTTACGGTTACTATGTCCCGGTCCGCCGGGTTGATGACGTCCCCGAAATGAGCTCAGGATTAATGAATATTATGTTAAGCAGGGAGAGGCCGTCTGCTCCATTCATCACCTCCAAATCTCAAGGACGAAGACCCCTGAAATGCAGCAAGACGCCGCTTCGGCCAGAGCCTACCGCCGACGAGAGTCCTGGTTCCCGATTGAGGATGGCTCTCTCACGAACTTAGCCAGATGGGGAAGAGGAAGAGACTAGGGTTTCGAAGGCAAATTGGGGATCTCGTTTTTTTTAAGACCTCTAAACTTATATATATATATATATATTTTGCATTGTATATTAAAATATATATTTACTTTTGAAGTTGTGTTTTTGTGTCATCTATAGTTATTTACCCAACTTGAGGTTCACTTGACTTGCCTAGGATACTCTTGAGAAGAGGAGGAAGACAAGAGAATCAAATAGGGATTTAAATGAGCCTTTCCCTTAAAACATTACATGTGCTTGTACCAATACTTGCATCAAACATAAAACACTTGAACATTGCTTATGACAAATACAAAATGGCAAAAGACATATAATATGAAAAAGACATATAATATGCAATTTACTTTCTCATAAACTAATACCAACTGATCATGTCTTCTACACTTGTGAATGTTCTTCCACATATTTCGGAGACAAGATCAGCAATTAGCAGCATCTGTAGTTGTCAATCCCACATAATTTGTGTACTAACCTGTAATCATTTAATAAGATCAACAATTAGCAGCATCATGAGTCTTTAATCCCACAAATTTGTGGACTAATCTGTAATGATTTAGTTACCGAATAATTGTGATATATGTTGTGGGACTCCTAGAAAATAAAATTAAAAATTAAGAAGCTAACTAATTGTAATAATTAGAAAACCGTCCTACACAAATCGATTCTTGATCATTACGTTATCTGACAAATGTAGAGCATTCAAACTTGCCTGTATCAACTTTTTTGGAAAAGTTGTATCCAAACTTCCAAAGACAAATTTCTTAAATTAAATATTAATCACAGATATAGTTGAATATAACGTCGCACACAATGTGGGAACGCTGCTTGCTTAAATGATTGGAAACTCAATAGTATTTACTACCATTTTAGTAAACCATTCATTAAAATTTTCACTAAATTTTTAGAAAATATCATTTAAAATTACATTATAAAATTTAGTTAGATCATTCATTAACTTTTTATAATATGAAAAATCATCTCATTTCTTCTAGAAACGAAGAGATAATTGGGGTTCTTTTTTAGTTCTATATTCAATTGCAAGCTAACTATCTCATTTCCCATTCTTAGATCTGTATAGAAAGTTAACGAGTTTGTCCCCCTATTTTTTAAAAAATATATATAATTTTAATCCTTCGCGTTACCCATTTATGCAAGAACTGAATGATATTATTTTGTTAGAAATAATAAAAATAAAAGAATATCATAATTAAATAGAATAAATATTTTTATAATTTATAAAGTTAGAAAATAATACATTTCTTTTTAAATTAATATTGAAATACTTGAAAATTTAAAAACGGGAGAGACCTACTCTATATATAATACATAATCAAAATAAAGTAAAACTTGTTTTGTTTTTAGAAAAAAAAAAGTTGAATCAAATATATGGAATTATAAATAATACATGATATAGACACATACAATTTTAAAAATATAATCATTTTTTTTTTTTACAAATTTAGTGTAAATATACGGGGCCCCATTTTGAATTACTTATCATTTTGTTGGTTGTTATTATTATTGTTCTATATTCATTATACAAATATTAATATATTTAAGTATCCGTGTAATACACGCGTTTCGTACTAGTTTGAATAATCTCACAAAACAATAAATAAGTTAACATAAAAAATACAGAACTGACAGTTAATTCTAAGCAGGTGAGGTCCTTATGAATGGACAGATTATTGTGATAATGCTTATCTTCATTAGTATGCTCTATTATTCTCCAAAAATAATTGAAGCATGGATAATGAATACGAATGAAGGCATAATTTGGAGTTGTACACAAGCCAGCCATGAATACAAAGTATACAACTTACCACCCACGTAATCCCATGCCCCGCGCCTACAGGCTACAACCACAAATTGTAGCCTCGTGTCGCTCTCCAACGTTGAAAACCGTTGACCACAAATCGACGGCCCTGATTCGTCGGGGCGAGCCATATTGTCCGCTGGATCATCAGCGCCACCAACAGCATGTTCTGACAGCTCACATTCGACGGTTGGTGGTGTACAAGTCAATTGCGGGACCAATCACGTTGCTTCATCGTGCCACGTTGGCCGCGTCCGCGACAACACAAATCGTCTCATTTGAGTTTGTCCCACGTTCTCCTCCAGTTTTCTCCTCTGCAGTCTTATCATTTTGAACTATATTTTTACCATATTGCCCCTCAGATCGAGCTCCATCTTGTGGTAGTAGTTTATTGAAATGTTGAGTTTGCATGCCAAACCAAAATGTTGAATCGGTCCATCAACTAAAATATGTTGCGTAGAGAATCATGATTCAATATTATTTATTTTATGTCAAAATTTATATTTAACATTTAATGAATAATATCTTCTGTCATTTTCAGTCACCAGTCTTTTTCGCACATAATAAAAGAAAAATATTTTTGGAACGGAACTAATATTAAGAGCACCCACAATGTTTTGGGTCTCTTTTTTCATATGTGGCAAATAAATAGACTTAAATCTATTATGACATAGATAAACCTAAACTAAAAAATTCAAAATCTATCCAGTGAAAAATATAATAATAGTAAATGATTGCTATTGTAAGGTTCACACTTGAGTCCAAAATAGACCCAAGAGTGGACTTGGTCTCTTTTTTTTTTTTTATTGCCACATAAGCTAGATTAGGTCTACTCATTGTGAAACACTTTTTTATAGATTAGGTCTATTTTCTACATGGCATGTGATTTTTTTTAAAGAGACACAAAGCATTGTCGATGCTCTAATTTCGGGAAGCTGTGGATTCAATGTTCATTAGTCAGATTGTGATTGAAATATGGTTAGACAGTGTTTATTCAGGATTTTTTCAAGTAGTATAGTATTTAGTTAATAAATTTATATAAAAAAACATTAATGAAATATTTAGACTATTTAAAACATGACAACGCTTAAAATAATTGAGCAATATACTATATATCTAATAATCTATTATTTTATTTATGCTAAAAGTATATTTTAGTTTATTAAAAAATAAAAGAAATATTGGTCCATTCGGCCGGTTTTTCAACTTTGATATGTTCCACTGGTCAACAATCCAGTTTTTAAATTATGGAAAAAATTGAAAATCTTTTGAAAATTAAATAATAAATTATCAAATTCTCTTTTAATGTTCATTTACACCATTTTAAACTATGTAGAAATATCTCCGTAGAACTAAATACAAGTCTTGAAAGCAATTTTTAACAATAGATTTTACAGGGAAGTAATCTATATATATATATATATATATATAGAGAGATGGGATCATATGAGAAAGAAAGATAGCGAAAGAAATAAGAATAAATATAAACCATTGGATCTAAAAAATAAGTGGTGATGATTAAGTCAAACATTAATAATATAGTCAAACATGTAATGGCATTATAGTAAATATTTGAACATATGGTGGTCAAATATGTTCCTTAGACCACTCATGAAGGGTATAATAGTAATTAAAATAACAAACAACTTTAGTGGACCCACCCCAACCCACCCCATCTCTCTAAGCACACATAGCACTCACGCACACACCCGCCGCCACACACACACACCTCCGGCAACACCACACCACCACCACCAGCCCTGCCTCCCATTCGCCGTCCGCCACCGAGTGTCCGCCGTCGACCACAGAGATGGCCTCCACCAGAAGCACCGCCTCTGCCGTCCGTCGCAAGCTTAATTTCACCGGAGTCGTCCACCGTCAGCAGCCCGAAGCTTCACGCCGGTCACGTGAGGTTATGATTCGACGCAACGCCTCTCGGCAGAACTCCGCCGCCTCGAGGCCGCGCAATCCACCTCCGACCTACCGGATGTCTTCGACATGGTCGCGGATGTGTCAAGACCTCTGCCGCAGTCATTGCCGAAATACAAGCGCCCAGGACGACCGGCGATTGCCAACGAGACCTTCACGGTGAGAGACGAAATAGATTAATGTTGCTGGTGAGAGACGAAATAGATTCATGTTGCTGATGAGAGAGGAATTGTACAGACATGTGTTCAAAATTGTGGGGCATGTGTTTGAGAATTTGATAAATGTAAGGGACTTGATTGCAATTGTAAGGGTTTTTTTATTAAATTTCAATTTAGTACATGGGTCAAATCTATAATTTGTGAAAAATATATTAACTAACAAAGAAAGTGTAAAATATTATTGATAAAAAGTATGAAATTGGGATCCAATTGCTGGAGTTCATGCTCGAAAGGAAATTCATTTATATTGAGAGCTTTCCAAAAGATCCCCCAATCCGAATAGAATGAATGAGATATCCTTTCCGTTAATTTTAAAATTAAATAAAATATAATTGAATCAAATATAAAATTTTGAATCGAAAATTTTTGTTCGGTCTGTTTCGACAGCTAGTGCAATTTGATAATCATTGACGTGCAATTTGTATAACAATATTGTGCAATTGCAATATATTTAAATACAATGAAGAAATAAAAAATAATATTAATAATTTTTTATGTGGTACAACAGGTTAGTTTTTTTCTGTTATTTGAAAAAAATAATGCACACATCAAACTGAAATATCCATGATTTTAAAAGTAAAAAATAGATTATCAAACCGAAATTTAAAATTTCAACCAGAAAAATTTAGTTCAAATATTCAGTGCAATTCGATAATCATTAATGTGCAATTCATCTAACACTATGGTGCACTTAAATTGCAGACTTTTTTTAATAATTTGTTCTAACCAATACTAACATTGAATTTAAATAATCGGTGTATCCGATCAATTAATGTGAATACCATAAATAATATAAATAACTTATATTCATATTATAAAAAAAATATTTAGTATTTTTTAATATTTATATTTAATATTTTTTCTGTTGGAACTAAATAAATTTTTTTATATATAAATATATGGGAAAATATTTTTTATATAGTTAGTATGTTTGTTTATTTTGGTTAATTTAAAAAATTAATGTTGATATTGAACTAACATAATTGATTTTACAAATAAAAATAGATAATTGAACCGAATAAGATTTCGAAATGAAATCTTTAGTTCATTCGGTTTCGGTCATCATGTGCAATTCGTATAACATTATTGTGCAACACGTAGTCGTTAAGGTGCAAGTCGCCTAACACTATTGTGCAGTCGCAGTGCAAGCATTTTTTTAAGGAGTTGTCTCAAATCAAACTAAACATAACCGAAATAAACGATTTATTTAATCAGATAACCGTATTAACCTAAATTTACAAAATAATTTTTATTTTATATTATAAAACTAAATTTAGTATTTTTATACTATTATTTAATATTTTATATTATTTTTGGTTATAAATACATAGTATATATAAAATAAAATAATACTTTTTATATAATTGGGTCGATTGGTTAGTTAAAAAATATATAAAACCGACGTCGAACCCGAATAATCAAAATTTTTAAAGGTAATAACTAAAAAAAATAACTGAACCGACATATATAAAATGTACGAAGAAAAAAAAATATATACATATATATGATTATATTCTAAGTCATTTTGGTCGGTACATATGCTACGTTAAAGTGCAATCTCAAAGACGCAAAAGTGCAACTTGTCTGTCATTAAAGTGCAACGTGTCCAATACAATTTAAATATTTAATATTATTTTGATTATTAAAATTTATCTATTAATTCAATATTTGTTTTATTACATAATATTATTTTTATATTATTTATTTTATTTTATTTAATATTTTTATTTTTATTTTACTATTTTTTATTACTTTTAATAAACTTTTTGTAAATTATCAATTTGACACATGTACTTAATTGAAATTAATTAAAATTCTTGAATTTACATATAGGTCCTCATAAAATATCAAATTTTCCAATAATAATCCCCACAAATCAAAAATCGCTGTTGAACGGCAGAGACTTTCCGGTCGCCGGAGATTCCGCTGGAACTTCGAACGGATTGATGGGGGCGGAGGTGTGGCTGGGCGGCGGGCGGATGTGCTGCTGGGCTGAAGTGCGGATGTGGGCGGAGCTGGGTTGGAGGTTCGGCCGGAATTTCGGTCGCGCTCGCCACTGAGGGTGGTGGAGGTGGCCGGCGGGACAATAAAGATGGCGATTGTCAGGTGGCGGAGGTGGCCGGCGGTACGTGGCGGTGTAGACGGTGGCCGACGGAGGAAACGGTCCGTGGCTGTGTATGTATTGTATGTGTACAGTGCGTGTATGTGACGTGTGTGTGTGTGCGGTGTGTGTGAGTCGCGTGCCTGTGTGTGTGTGTGTGTGCCGCCGCCGATCTGCCGGTGTAGTGTGTGTGAGTGTGTGTGCAGAGTAGTGTGTGTGAGTGTGAGAGAGAGAGAGACATGTGGAGTGTGTGAGAGAGAGAGATGTTGAGTGTTTGATATATCACGTGTGACAGATTGATATAGCTGGGTGGTGGGTGAAAGTGGGGCCCGTGTGTATATGGGTAGTTGGATAAAATGTCTAAAATACCCTTAATGAATGTATAATTTTAGCTTTTTTATTAGCCATTTGATCATTCAATCCGATGGCTGTGATTTATTCTTATTTCTTGCATTAAGCACCATTCTCACTTGAACCCAACCCTATATATATATATATAGGGTCGCGCTCCGGTGAGAATGATTCTTAATGCGAGAAATATGAATAAATCGTAATCATTAGATTAGATGATCTAATGGATAAAAAAAGTCACAATTATACTTTCTTTAAGGGTAATGTAGTAATTTTCACATACAAATAGTGGGACCCAAAAAACACCAACTCTCCCCACACCCACGTGGGTCAAACCCACTCACCTCACCAATCTCTCTCTCTCTCACACACACTCTAATCTGTACAAACACACATTGAACATGACTCACACACACACACACGCAGGCTGGGTCTCAGTCGCCACTGCCGCTTCCGCCACTGCCAACGTCGGCCTCCGCCGGCCACCAGTCCCCCACCATCCGCAGCCGGTCACTGCCTCCCGCCGCCTCTAGCACCTTCCTCCACCTTGGATCCCACGATCGTCTTCTTCTACTGGGCATCATCTACTCCGTCGACGTCGATTTCATCGGAATCTGTTGGATGAAAGTCGGAATATGACCACGCAAATCTCGCCGGAGTCAAAACCTCGACTCCGAGACTCGGCATTCTAGCGGGAAAATAGACTTGGATGCTTCGTCGGCGAGCAGAAGAACGACATCTCCGGAGGGAGCGGATGACTAAACCGCCGGAAAATTGGCCGGCGAGGTTGACGAGAACGGACTGTGCAATGTACTTGTTTTTTGAGAATTAGATATTATTCAGGGACTTGGTTGCAATTTCAAAATTTTTGATAAATGTTAATTTAGTCGCTAGGCCAAATGTGTAATTTTGAAAACTTTATGAAACATAGGGTGCAGAATATCAACTAGCATCGATGCTTTCAAAAATGTGGTGACTGGTGACAGAGGAGTAGAAAAGTTCAAATTGGAAAATTGGTAGTAGTTTTTTTTCCAGCCGTACATGTATAAATGCGTGTGTTTAATTGGGCTGTACCCAGGTTTGCTTTTTCAATTTTGTTTTTTTTTTTGTCATATAAAGCTAATGCCCATCATTGCTTTTTCAATTTTTTTTTTTTTTTTTTTTTGACATATAAAGCTAATTTGCCCATCAAACTATGTAAGGTCGAAGATGCAAGAACAAGATCCTTGATGAAAAGGTTATTGTAATAAAAAAATATTGAGTTAATAAATAAAAATTATATACTATAAATAATATATTATTTTGATTTTTTAGGTTAATTCGGTTAATCAACTATATAAACTAATTATTTCATTTCTGATTTAATTTTAATTTGCATATAAAAAATCATAATGCAAATGCACCATGTCGTTAATCAAGATGCACATCAGTGAATATCACATTGCACAGTACTATTATATCGAATGCACATTAGGACCATTTTTTGCAATTTCTTAAAATAATATAAAAATAAATTACGATAATAAATAAATTATATGATAAAATGATATATTTTATTTAGGTTATTTCGAAGTACAATTATATATATTAAAACTAGTTTTCGAATACACATAATTTAGGGTAGGGTTCACATGAGAATGGTGCTTAGCGCATGAAATCGCAGCCGTTCGATCGGATAATTCAACAGCTAAAAAAAAGCCAAACATCTATACTCATTAAGGATAAATTGGACATTTTTCCAATTACAACCACAGTGGGCCACCCCCAATTAGACCCACTCACCCGCATCTCTCTCTCTCACACACACACACACGCACACACACAATGAAGACGCACACACATTCAGACACGGCGGAGCACCGCCGCGGACCCTTCACCGGCGCCATATATACTTCCTCAGCTACATGGCCGTCCCGGGGCCGAGATTGTCGGCGACTCTGACCGAAGGAAGACCGCCGTACGATGCCGCCTATCATCACCATAGCGCCGCCCGTCTGAAACTCCGACCAGCTCCGCACTTTCGAAATTCAGATCGAACCTCCCCAGCTCCGCCATCCGCCCACCCGTCGTCGTTCAAACTTTCAACCGCCTTCTCCCAGCCGCACCTCCGCCCCATCTCCGTCCATTCGAAGAATCAGCCGCACCTTCGCCATTCAAAGGTTCAGCAGCACCTCCGTCCATCTCCGTCCGTTCAAAGGTACGGTCGCCACCTCCACCCGTTCAGACTGCCACAATTGACGGCATTCAGCCGCCAGTTCGCCGTCCATTGACACAACATCCGAACTCCCGATCGAATTTGTTCTCTTGTTTTTTTCTATCTCCAATTTATCTATTTTCTTTAGTTCATCACTAGACCAATTATGCCATCGTGGAGGCAACCTCTAGTAAAGAAAAGAGAAAACGAAGTGCTGTGAAGCCGTGGTCAATTCCACTGTCTAGGATATTTTCGAAGCGCCGGTAAAATCAATTAGGATTGTGGGGTTTTATTTTGAGAATTTGATAACTTTTAGGGACTTAATTATAATTTAAAAATTTTGATAATATTTCAATTAAGTTCATGGGCCAAATCTATAATTTATAAGAAGTTATAAAAAACATTATCTTTTAAATATTTTTTATAAATATATATTAAAATATTAAATAAAATGATTAAATAAAAGTAATATAAAATATTTTAATAATACAAAATAATATAAAATATTAAATAGAATTATTATAATATTAAATAATTAAAATAATAATAAAAAATATTACAATAATAAATATACTTTTATAATAATAACTAATAAATTATTTCAAGTATTTAGTTTAGTTTGATGTACAATTATATCTACTAAATCTAGTTTTAAAACACACATATTTTATATGTGCTCATATAAAGAATTACACTTTATATATCAACATGTTGCACTTTATAAAACATTACATTGCAATTTATAGAACAACAAGTTGTACTTTATCACATTCCAAAATTACAGTAGTACACTTTATACATCAACATGTTGCACTTTATAAAACAACACGTTGCACTTTAGAAAACAACATGTTGCACTTTATAAACATTGCAATTTATAGAATAACACGTTGCACTTTATCAACACGTTCCAAAATTACAGTAGTACACTCTATACATCAACATGTTGCACTTTATAAAACAACACGTTGCACTTTATAAAACAACATGTTGCACTTTATCACGACTACGAGATTGCACGATAAACGTCGAAACCGGCCGAAATAAAATCAAATAATTATGGTCATTTTCAATTTGATTTGGTACAATAGTTCGGTTGGTTCAATCTGCATAATACAGACCGACACAGTGCACCACAGTGATGTACGAATTGCACCTTAATAATTGTTATATTGCACCGTATATTTCGTTTACATATATACAATTTTTTAATTAAAAATAATATAAAATGTAAAAAAAATAATATTAAATACTAATCATGTTCTTTTATAATAAATAATATAATATTATTTCAGTTATTTCTATTATTTATGTTAACCGAAAAAATAAACCGAATATGTGGAAACCAAAATTTTCCTTTTGAATTTTTAAAATTTCGGTTCGATTATCATTCTTTACATTAAAAAAACTCGATTACGTCCGTTCGCTTTCGACGTTTTCTTTGATTTTATTTAGATAACAAAAAAAACTCTATTATTATTATTATTATACTATTATTATTATTATTATTGTTATTATTATTATGTAAAAATATTATATTTTCAGCCTTTGATTTTTAATAAATTGTAAATGTGTAATAAACAAAATATTGTGAATTGGACTAAGTAAATTCCAAGAATATTATTGGGCACATAGAAAACACACATACATGAGTCTATTTAATTTTGGGCTTTCTTATGTACTCAAAATCAGGAAGTGAACATGGGCCACATACAGGTATGACTTTTTGTATTAGCCACATCCAAAACATTCCTAAATTGCATAAAGGTCCTTTTGACATATCTAATTTTCAAACATAAGTCCCTAGCCCTAAAAGCTTCGTCCGTCACTGTCACTCGCCTTTCATCAGTGCCCGATCTCTTCTGGCGGCTCCTCTCTGTGAAGGTCATGTTGGAAATCAACCGCCGGCTCTCCTCCGCTTGGTTCTCCGGCGAGAATGGCGACATACTTGCGGCGGCTGCGCTGAGCTACTCATCACTCTAGCGGCCATCCCGGCGGCGTCCGAAGCGGCGGCTTGTGGCGTATTTCGCTGGCCCTAAGCAGAGATATATGGTCTGGACATTTCTCCGGTTAATTCTCGCCGGAGTTTCAGAAAATCCTCCTTGGCCGGCGAGTCTCCGACGAGATGGAGGGACGGATAATACTACAGACGGCGGCGGGAATCTTGAGTTGGCGGGCGGCGGGGTGGCGGACGGTTAATGGATCCCGACTGCAAAGTGTGTGTGTGTAGTGCGTGTGTTCGTCAAAATATTTCAGAACGTGAGAGAGATAGAGGAAAGAGAAAACAAGGGTGAGGAGAGAGAGATTGAGGAAAGAGAAAAGTGGTGTGAAATAATTTGGTGAGTGGGTCCCACCTGATATTTATATTTACTAACTTACCCTTATTATTGGTCAAATACATATAATTGACCATAACATGATAAACAATTACTAAATTGCCATTAATGATTGACCCTAATTTGACTTCATCTTAACCATTGATATGTTGGATCTAATGATCCAGATCCATTCTCATTTCTTGCATTAAGAGTCATTCTCATATGATCCTTTCTCTATATATATATATATATATATATATATATATATAAAGGTTAGTTCAAATAAAAACTAGTCCTGGTGTGAGAACCGTGAGAACCATATTTCATGTTATTTTTAATTGTGTATAATGCTATTTTTAGTCTCACATGGTGCTATCATTTTTACAAATGCTAACATAAATTGTCTTGCTATTTTTAATAAAATACATCCTGATTATAAATAGCACTAAAATATAATCAATCATAGCACTACGTACAATTAAAAATAGCGGTTCTCACGGTTCTCACGCTAGGACTTAGTTCTCATTTGAACCAAATCCTATATATATAATTACTAGCTAATAGAATCTTGATAAGAAGGAATCTTGATATGAAGGAATCTTGATATGACTCAGTAATGAGGGTAATAATGAGTGTAGACGAATCGACCGGGGCAATTTAGACCTTTCAAGTCCATCAACTAGGGCATTTCAGGTACTTCAAGTAAGTGTTCCCTCCTATATAAAGGAGATGAGGTAACTCTAAACCCTAACTTCCATTCACTCCATCTCTCCTCTATAGCTGTTGCTGCTCTCTCAGAGCAGCCTCTCTTCATCTTTTTCACATACTGACTTGAGCGTCGGAGGCTCTACGTCGGAAACACCTCCGGCGTTGAGTTCTTGCAGGTGTTCTCGCGGTCTAGCAACGGTTCGAAGGCGATTTAAATAGATCTGAGCTCATGACCACCGGCTCACTCCAGATCTGAGAGTAGACCCATCATTTTGGTGCCGTTTGTGGGGAGTTCTTGAAGGAATTAAGAGCTTTGCACCTAGCTCCGATCTGTTTTTGATGACTGAAAAGGAAGGTTTCCAGAGAAACTTGAATAAGGAGTTTAGGGGAGCTTGGACAGACAGGAGACCACCACCACTCTCTACCCCTAGACCTCCGGTGATGCAGATGCTGGGATTACCACCATTTGGAGGAGTTCCGCCGTCGGGAATGAATCTGGGTGGAGAAACGCCTGTTACTCCACCCGGAGTGAAGATGCAAGTGTTGACTCAAGTAGGGACAAGTCAAAATTCTAATCTAGGTGTTAGAGAGAAGGAGCCAACGGAGATATCTCGATGAGAGGGAAAGCAAATTCAAGAGGTACCGGAGCAGACACAAACACAACCTCGCGTCGAGGAGCAGACACTGACAATGACGAGGACCGAAATGCAAAAGATGATCGCTGAGCTGTGGCAGCCCAGATGAGGCAAGTGGCGTGAGTCGAGCAAAACCCTCAAGTGGGGCAGAACCTGCGGGTTGAGCAACAGCCTCGTGTCGAACAACAGGCTCAGTCGAATATGCAACAAAACAGAAGGGCGGATAAGGAAGAGTCTTCCATTCGAATGGTCAACCCCCAGGCGAGAGACGAGACATTGGAGCAGTTGTTGGCTCAGGTCCGTGACTTGCAGGCTCGATTTGGGGGAAAGAAGAGTAGGGGAGCAAAGGAGCATCCATTCTCGCAACAGATCTTGCGGGTCGACCTATCTCAAGGCTTCAGGGAGTTGAACATATGGTATGATGGCTCCACTGACCCGTCTCGACATCTGAGGAGCTTTGAGAACATGGCGGTGCTTTACCGCTACAGTGACCCGATGCAATGTCGCGCTTTTCTGACGACTCTGATGGGGTTGGCCCAGAATTGGTTACATCAACTACCAACTGGGTCAATTTAGGACTTTGATGGTTTCAGCTCGAGTTTTCTCAATCAGTTTGCAAGTGTCAGAGTACAGGAGAAGTCCTATCTCTTGTTGATCAGCATGCAACAGAAGAAGGGCGAGTCGCTGCGGGAGTATGTGGTGAGATTTACAAGGGCGTGTGTCGACTGCCCAACAACGACAGAAGAAATCAAATCGGGAGGACTGACGAGGGGACTGCTGCCAGGGTTATGTAAGAATTCTTTGGCCAAGCGACCAGACAGGAGTTTCGATGACGTATTGGGGAGATGTGCTAAATACATGAATGTCGAGGAAGCAGAAGTCAACTACCTACAAAGCATGAAGATTTCCCAGACCGAAAAATCGAGATGACAAGAAAGATAAGAAGATCCATTCGAGTGGGGAAAGGAGGGGATCACCGCGAGCTGATAGGGGTGAAGGACGATCCAGAGGATGGAGGCCGATTCAATACACACCCCTGTCGGCTCCCCACGTGAGAATACTTGAAGTGATGGAGAGGGAGATCCGAGACGATGTGGTGAGATGGCCAAGGACGGACCAGTGAAGCCCAAGAGCAATTTGTACTGTCGTTCCACAAGGATTATGGGTACAACACGGACGATTGCCGACACCTAAAAGACGAGATCGAAAGGTTGATAAAGGCAGGCCATCTGAAGGAGTTCATATACAAAGATCGAGAGAGGTCGAGCAGGAGGAGAGAAAGGAGTAAAAGTACTCGCAAGAGGAGAGAAAGAAGTAAAAGTACTCGTAAGAGGGCGAGATCACTGGAGAAAGACGAGCTCCTCCCGAAAAGGGGAGTAATTAACATGATTTTTGGAGGATCGATAGATGGGGAT